AAAAGTGAAATAACTAGGCATCGTCTCACATGGCCCTTTCACTTACAATACGATATTTTACAACGAATCAAATTCAATACTTTTATTGAAACGTCAAAAACGATATCGTTCTATGAATTTTGTACTAAATACTGACTTATGACGTCATCATACTTTCAAGTCAAATAGCACACTCATTTCTGAACAAATTGCTAGAATAAATCGATAATTAAGTATATCGCGTCAAATATATGAATGAAATTGTAATTATTTTTTAATATGTAGTAATTGGATTGGAAAATCAAAATAAATTGTTTTTAATCCAGGAATATACCCAATTATTGTAAAAGAAAAATTGAAACTCATACTAACAAAAGAAAAAAACAATATATAATGAAATATAAATATTTAATCCCATTACAAATCAGTCGTCGTCCATTCCATTAGGACGTATATATTAATATAAAAACTAGCTTTTACCCGCGGCTTCGCTCGCGTCACAAAAGGACAAAAGTATACCAATACTTTTGTTTTCCCTCGGGAATATCATTTATTCCGGTACCCTATTATTTATTCCGGACTTACTAACTTTACGTCTGCAAAAATTCAAACCATTCGGTTTAGTAGTTACGGCGTGAAAGCGGAACAAACAAACAAACAAACAAACTCACTTTCCAATTTATAATATTAGTAAGAATTTGAATAATTTTATTTATATAATTATTGATCTCGCAATTGTAATATTTATACAATGTATTGATTGGACTATTTTTTTTTTCTCAAAAAAATCGTCGTTTATTTTCTAATTTTTGTATCCGTACCCATAGGTTTACTTTAAGAATGATTTTTGAATGAAAATATTTATATTATCTTGATTAAACTGTCAAACACCAAGCGGTCACCGGTGACCGCAACCTATTGTTCTATAATTGTGTCTATAATGACGGTACTCAACGAGTTAATTGCAATGCATGCATTATTTGTAATATTATGATCGGCATAATAAAAATTGTGCCTTGATCTTGGCGATGAAAAAAAAAACTGTAAAAAGGAGAATGCCTATGCCAATGCTTAACCCCAATTATGAAATACCTATCTACAATTTTTATTCATACAAAAGTAGAATCTAAACAACAGAAATAAGGTCTATAATAAAGTAAGTGGAGAGAGGTCACCGGTGACCGCTTGGTGACAGGATAGTAAAATCATTCATGGACTATATATAACCTACTAGCTACTTCCGCGCGGTTTCACACGCTCTGCTCAGCTCCTTGGGGCCGTTTACAAACATATAATTTCACATACACATGACACCCAGACCCGAAACAACAATTTGTGGATCACACAAAGTGTTGTACCGTGCGGGAATCGAACCCGCGACACGTTGCACGGCACGGATGATCTCTAAAAGTGACGTTAAAATCTCTAAATTATCAATAACTGCGACAGTCCACTAATGGACTACCAGTCTACTCTACATAAGAGGGTTTGCCACAATCTCTGCAGGCAGGTGGGTTGGAGATCGCAGTATACAAGGTTCAGGTTTATCAGAGAGCGCTGCTGTACGGACTCTGTCTAATGTGTAGTCACTTAGTCGGGTATACAACACCCGCGGGAAGAGCTGGGGTTGTGACTAATATATTCTACTGGAAACGTATATAAATAAATATAAATGGCCAATGATTTCATTCATATATTTTATTATATTTGAGTTGTATGTTTTAATTATAATTTTTAAGTAATTTTAATACAATGTAGTGATATATAATATAATAGGCATGATGATAGGGTATGAACATTATAAATATAATTAGTCCGTCAGTTAGGTAATGAAAAAATATTAGACACGTATTCTTTTATTTTGTCGTATAATAAAACAATACTCAGATGAAACGAATCAAAGTTTAGGAGTGGGGGCTAAAACGTCATTTCTACGTATAAAATGTATATAGAAGTGACGTCACGCGACATTTTAAATCAATATATCGTCGAAAGTATTCGTTTCTGTAAGAAAATAAAAAATACGTGTATAATATTTTTTCATTACCTAACTGATCGACTAATTAGATTTTTAATTTTCATACTCTGTCATCATCCCTATTATATTATAATTTATATAGTGATATAGAATCTGGTAGCTCACTCGAATTATAGATTCGTTATCGTAGTATTTTTTCGCAGAATTTTATTATATGCTAGCTGTACGCGCGACATTGTCCGCGTGGAAAAATTAGCCTTAGTTACTCCTTATTACATCAGCTATCTGTCAATGAAAGTCCCGTCAAAATCGGTTCAGCTGTTTCATAGATAAGTCAAAACATACAAACAGACAGACTTGACAAAAATAGTAAATAATGTGGTTTTTAAATATTTTTTATTGATACAAATTAGGAAACCCTTATGTTGATTAAGAAATAATTATATCAGTATTGAAATCTATTATTTTGTATATATCGTATGTATATTCATATGCATATAGTAGAAAGCGGTTATTTCCATATCACAAACAAACACTCCTATTTTATATATATATCGAGGGGTAACGGACTATTTGGTTTAAGCGACATTTTGGGCGATATTGAGTTATATATATATTCGACAGAGAAAAATGCGCTGATTCCGAATATATATATAACTCAATATCGCCCAAAATGTCGCTTAAACCAAATAGTCCGTTACCCCTCGATATATATATAAAATAGGAGTGTTTGTTTGTGATATGGAAATAACCGCTTTCTACTATATGCTTTATACTATATGTATATATATATATATATATATCTAGAAATAGACTGCCTCGTTGGCCGAGTGGTCGCAAGTGCGATTGCCGGGCAAAGTATTACTGGGTTTTTAAAAAAAATCTCAGTAGTGGCACGGAGTCTCGAAGTGTGCCCGGTATATGACAATAGGCTCACCCCCTATTACATGGGACTCATAACATAAATATTGAAAAGTGGGTGTTACGTTGTACAGTGGCATAATGTACACCTCTGCCTACCCCTTCGGGGACAAAAGGCGTGATGTTATGTTATGTTATCTAGATACAAAATTTATTACATGGGACTTGTGTCATAACTGGAGAAAAGTTGATGTTATATTGTATATGGTGCACCTCTGTCTACCCCTTTAGGGATTAAAAGGCATTCGACTGTACACCATTCTAAATGTGTCTTAATTATTTTAGATGTTTAGCTTTAAAAATATAATTTAATATTGTAGGACATACTAAATTAGTTATTATGTTTTCGACTTACGTAACTGTTTGACGAGAAACTCGACTAGTTTGGAGATGGAGTTTCTTGCTCGTTCTTCTCCATTCGAATCTACATTTTGGAATGAACACCTAGCTTCACTGACGGACTGACTGACAGACTATTATTTATTTTGTATTTGTTGACGTTTCAAAAGTACCTACCAAATTATGGTTTAATTGAAATAAATGCTTTGACTTTGACTTTTTAAATTATGCTTTTTTGAGGGTGGCAATTCATTAAATGACTTGGTATCTTGGGTGAGCTGAGAGTCAGACTCTTACTGACTAAAAACCACCCCGTTCCTACTTCTGCTCTTCGAGCCGGAGCCCCGGAAACCCATTATGCCGTCCGCGGTCCGTGCATGCTAGAGGCTCATATTCATGAGCAGCATTCCACGACAAGACGCATCGACTATCGCGCTGCTATTCAGCTTGGCTGGCTTGAAACTAGTCGAGTTCTTCGACAAATAGTTACGAGAGTAATCCGAAGCCATAATTATCAATCAAGGATGTTGAAAATGGCGGAAAACAACGACTGTGGCACCTGGCTACTATTGGCTATGTGCGCGACGGTGGCGACGCGTAGCGTTTACAACATTTGCGGAAGCTGTCAAATAATAACAATGTAAACATTATAATTTTCTTTGCAAATATAAATAAAACCAAAGATTAAAATAGTATTGTTGACATTATTTAAGTGCAATTTATTCAATAGTGGTACTGTAAAATGAATATAATAATAATAAACCGGGGTTGCATCATCCGCATTTGTTTCCAATTTCTGCCGTGTTGTGCGCTGCGGTCGTTATCTGTCCGCCATTACTCCCTTTGCACGTAGCCAATACACTCACACGCAGAACACACACACATCGACACGAAGGACATCTGTCGCGTGACATGGCCCTACATTACGGTGTTGCAAGTACACGCATTAAAATATATCACTAACATTTTGACATTCAACCAATTCTAAGTGACATTGCGTCCGTCTATTTGCAACGTCCTTGTGTTTAATTTAAAAATAATGTTTTGTTTTAAATCTATGATACTAAGGCGGCTAAAACGATTTGAGATATTAAAAGGGGAAACATTATTCAATGTATTCTCTGGCCTTGGGTGGTACAGGAGGGATTATCAGACTCTTTTTTTTATGTCGGGGGGAAAGACTAGGGAGTGTGGGATTCTCGTACCTCACTAAAACCACCCCGGTGGCCACGTGGCCACCCTCAGCATCTGTAAGGGGTACCGGATCCTCTGATTACTAAAAACCACCCCGTTCCTAATCCTGTATAAAGCCTAGTCGAGGTGACTTATTGCGTTCTATCCGCAACGCTGGTCAAATTTTTGACCCAAAGTTTACAATACACCGACATGTTTATTTCATTTTCGTCCCACTTCAAAACAACTTGCCATAAAGAGTACTTTCAATAAATAAAGAATGAAAAGTAACAATAAGTAACCTTTTATTGTTAATTAAATATTCATTAGATTCCGCATATGAGACACTTTTTTTTTTTTTTTTCTTTTTCCTTGGCAACCGAGTCTTCAATACGATGTTGTCGACTATACTGCCAGTGTCGGGTGGTGACGGCAGATTAATGAGCCGTCGAAGTTAACTTTGCGGTAGTTTTTAGTAGTTAGTAGCTGAAAGGACAAAACAATTGGGTTAGTAAACATATAAACATTACCAACTATTTTACTGTATGAGTACAGGGGTGAAGAAAATAGTTGGGGGGACGTACACAATACAGACACACAGATATATACACCATTTACATATATATATGAGACACTATAGTCAGAATTATAATTCGATTCCAGATTTGACATTAGCTACTGTCATTTTGTGAAATAATGATACCACATATAATAGTATAGTGATGAACACAAAAATCGATAAACAATCAGTGTGTGTGTTTTATAATAAATGTTACAGAAAGTGACAGGATAACGATAGCGAAGACGGCGACAATTTATAGAATAACTTATTACCATAATACATCTATCTGTTTTATTTGTCATGTTCCTTCATGATCACATTTTCTTATTTATTGCACACACAATTATAAAAGAAAAGTCTCAGATCGTTAATTAATCGTCAAAACTAAATTATCAGTCAGAAATATTTAATTTCCTGATATACTTAGTTTACATGAGTAAAATTATATACGAGAAGAATCGATCCGGAAATATTCCATTTCCATATCGAATTATTTCGCAAAGTCACTATTTAGTACTTGTCATAACGTTTCAACACTGAAATTGTCAAATCTGGAATCGAATTAAAATTCCGAGTATAGAAATAAATTTGTAGGCACTATTCGCATCGCACGTGGCACCCAACGAGAAATACCTCTTCGAGAATTACATTTCGTGATGTTTTGATAATGTACTGTAATGAGTTCGTATGCGCTTTCGAAGTTTGCTTTTTGCAATGGTTCAGTTATTTTTTGTTTTAAACATTTTATTTCTTTGTAAAACTATTGTATTACCGAGACAGAACCATTTTACTTAAGGACGAAAACGAAATAAATTCCACGGTTTATTGGTATTTATACCATATACCATTCTGCTGACCTATTTAAGCAAAATGTACCGTGATATTATTTTATAGTAGTTCCTTTACCAATTTTGTAATTTCATACGCAAAGTTTTGATCATTCTGCCTTGCCCCTTAGTCTTAGCGTGATGTTATATACTGTACAACTTTCCTTAATAACTATATTGTCAGATGGAAAAAGAATTATTCAAATAGGACTACTAATTACAGAGATATATGTATACATACACACGAACGTACAAACAGTCAAATTTTGTTCTATAGTTTTTACTACTAGCTCCTCTCGCGCGGTTTTACCCGCAGCTCGGCTCGTATTGGTCGTAGCGTGATGTTTTATAGTATATAGCCTTCCTCGATAAATGGACTATCCAATACAAAAAGAATTATGCAATTCGGTCCAGTGGTTTCCGAGATTAGCGCGGTCAAACAAACACTAAGAAATAGATATTCGTCCTTCTCTGGAAGTTGTACTCCGATTTGAATATTTTTTTTATATATGACATTATTAATTATTGAAAAAGGTTATAGGCTATATAACATCACGCTGCGTTACTTAGGAACGCGGCAGCATGATGAAATTTTCAAAAAATATTGTTTTTTTAGGCATAAATACATGTGTAAATATTAAGTCATTCATATTAGCACTAAGTGTCGATGCACACACGAAAATAGCCCTTATTGCATGATGCGTAAGCGTCGTATTTCTATATGTTATTCGTAGTATATTAGCCGATTTTCTCAATCTTTATGTAATATTTAGTTTAAGAATAAATTGTATGGAAATCTTTTTTGGTGTTTTTTTTTTAATTGCCACATCTAGGGCCTTGAATAAAATAACAACTGCGTTTAAAAACCGACTTCAAAAATCCAAAAACTATAACAAACAAAAAGTCAAAACTAAAAAGCAAAAAATAACTATAATTAGTACTGATAGGTTACCCACCCACTGATAGGTAAGAAGTCGGTGCCATAATATAACCTCGTATAACCTCCTCCTTTTTTGAAGTTGGTTAAAAAGGCTGACATAGTCTCTAGAAACAACGACTGTGGCACCTGGCTACTATACACTTACACGCAGAATACACACACATCGACACGAAGGACATCTGTCGCGTGATATGGCCACGCACACGTAATATATCACTGACATTTTGACATACAACCTGTCTACGAGCAACGCCATCTATTACAATTCGGTGACAACACGACGCCATCGACCGGAGCAGGCGCCGCTCTGTTTTATCGATCGGTGCGGCCAATAAGGAAAGAGGAAGATTCTGTTTTAACGACATTAACATTTTACATTGTTTTTTAACAACCGCCGTTTCTTTTCTAACTGGAACGTGGAAGAAATCTCTCTCTCTTATTTAAGTACTAATTTAGTATTTTTGTAACAATAAAATAAACGCATTAATTCACATCAATAATAAAGGCATTCATTGAAGGCAACCTAAGTAAAATCCTGGAAGCGAGTGCACGCATTGCCGTACATAAGCCGTGCTGACACCACACATTGGAAGTCCTAACAAATTGGTCCTTCGAGCCGGATCTTCACCTGAATCAGCATTGGCAGTCACGGTCAGGTCAATCAATCCTTCCTTTCCCAAATCTCTACTCATTTTGTGCTAATATTGTCATTATTGTGCAAATTCCAGTATTTCGCGGCCACGTGTGCAGCTGGAACCCACCAGCATTTGCGAACAATATTGCCGTTTAATCTGTAAGTACTTGATTCCTTTCCCCTGTAAATCACCAATATGGGTAAAAAGAGGCATTCCCTTATAGACACAGAAAGTAATGAAGATATAATTCGCGATTTAGTAAAAAAACGAGGTTCAGTCAAAGGAAAATTCACATTGTTCGTAAAATATGTGCAATCTTTAGACGAGTCACAATTAACACAAAGTCAGAAGTTAGAACTAGAAGAACGTTATCAAAAAGCTAAAAATTTGTTTGATACATTTTCTGAGATTCAAGACGAACTAGATTTGGCTGTCTCTGAGTTTCAATTAGATAAGGAGTTACAGGAGAGAGAAGCGTTTCAAGACCAATATTATTCTATGGTGGCTAAATGTAAATGTGTTCTTAAAGAATATAGTAGTCAATCAGTTCAAAGTCAAGCACAAGGTCAAAGTCGCATTAACGGTGTGAAATTGCCTACTATTTCGTTGCCAACCTTCAATGGTTCGTATGACCAATGGCTCGAGTTTCGAGATACTTATCTGTCAATTATACATAACAGTAATAATTTAGAAGATGTTCAAAAATTTCATTACTTACGTTCCGTCCTTACGGGCAACGCCCTACAAGTCATTAAAGCGCTGGAGTTTTCTGCTGGTAATTATTTAGTGGCTTGGGGTCTTTTAGAAAACAGATACAATAATAACCGTCTATTGGTTCATAATCACGTGAAGGCAATATTTTCAGCTCAGTCAATACCTAAAGAATCAGCTGCTCACATTCGTAAATTAATTGACACAATTTTACGCAATATTCGTGCACTTAAAACTTTAGGAGAACCCACTGATACATGGGATACATTAATTATTTACATAATAGTTTCGAAACTAGATTCGTCAACTGAGCGTGAGTGGGAACTTCATAAGAGTAATTCCACTAACAGTTCCGTAGATAAAAAAAATTTACTATCAGATTTATTAACATTTCTAAAAGATCGAGCTGATTTTCTAGAAACTGTGAAACATTCGCAGAATCATCCAGCCACTGTAGATACTAATAATAATATTCACACAAAGAAGTCGTTATCAGTAAAATCACACAGTTATGTTACAACACAAAAGGTTAGCAAAGGGTTAAATAATCCACAACGTTACAAGTGCAATATGTGCGGTTCCAATCATCCCATTTATTCATGTGAAGAGTTCCTTAATTTATCTCTTCGAGATAAATTGCACATCATTGAAGAAAAGGGTTTATGTGTTAATTGTTTACGCATAGGTCACGCAGTCACCGAATGTTGGTTTGGACCGTGCAAGCATTGTAATAAGAAGCACAACACATTAATTCACAACCATTCAGTAGACACTTGTACATCATCGGCAGTGGCGCATATCACACAAAAGTCGTCTCACCCTGAACCTAGATCAAGTGCCACACACACGCAATTAGCTCACACCACTTCTCATAAATCACACACGCTTTACACAGAAGATAATAATATCAATATACACTATTATCAAAACCCGGTATTATTGTCGACTGCTTTAGTGGAAGTGGCTGACGAGCGTAATGAATATCACACAATACGAGCCCTTCTGGATAACGGAAGTCAACATTGTTTCATTACAGAAACATTGTGTAAAAAACTTAATATTCCATTGATACAGTCCACTGTTCAAATAAGAGGGGTAGGTAATACTGTCACTCAATCCACAAAATCTTGTAGCATTCAATTGCGATCCAAAGTAAATTCATTTAACACACGCTTTAACTGCTTAGTGTTGTCTTGTATTTCATCACACTTACCGACACAGAGTACAAAGGGTGACATAGAAATACCTGAAAACATTCAACTGGCCGATCCTGAATTCTGTTCGTTCGGTGAAATACATTTGCTGATCGGGGCGGACAAGTTCTGGGACCTGCTCAGTGAGGGTTTAGTGAGATTACCAAATGGTCCATATTTACAAAACACAAAATTTGGATGGATCATATCTGGTATTGTACACAAAAGAGTTTCACACATTAAACAGACTCAGTGCAATTTCACACATAGTACATTAGATTCTGATTTAAAACGTTTTTGGGAACTTGAAGAGATTCCTATTAGTAGTAATAAATTCACAAAAGAAGAAAGTACATGCGAAAAGTTATTTAAAAACACTACTTTACGCGTAGATAAGGGTCGTTTTTCTGTGCGCATACCGCTAAGTGAGTCAGCTGATGTACTCGGCGATACATTTACTATGGCTAAGAACCGGTTTCTCGAACTCGAACGCAAATTATTAAGACGCGCACCGGCTTATAGAAAAATGTACATTGATTTTATGAATGAATATTTAGACTTAGGACATATGAGTCGCATTTCTGATTATAATAAAATTTGTTATTTTTTACCACATCACGGTGTTTACCGAGAACACAGTTCTACTACGAAGTTAAGAGTAGTGTTTGACGGAAGTGCGAAGTCAACGTCAGGCAAATCATTAAATGACATCCAACACACAGGACCTGCGTTACACAACGACTTGTTTTCTATTTTGCTTCGATTCAGACAATTCAGACACGTTGCATGTTCCGATATTGAAAAAATGTTCCGACAGGTACAAATTCAGGAAGATCAAAGAAATTTACAGTTAATTCTTTGGAGAGAGAATCCATCTGATCCTCTCGGTGTGTACCAACTTAACACAGTGACGTACGGAACTGCGTCTGCGCCGTATCTTAGTATGAGGTGTTTGAAGCAACTCGCGTTAGAATGCACAGATAACGTCATCGCACAAGTAATTAATGACGACATTTTTGTAGATGATCTTGTGACCGGGCATGATGATCAAAAAACATTATTAGAGATTTGCAACAGTGTTTCTAAAGTTCTAGAATCTGGTTGTTTTCACCTGAGAAAGTGGGTATTTAATTCACCAGTTACACAATCAAACCTATTCGCTTTTAAGGATTTATCGTTCGGTAAAAACTGTCACACTAAAACACTGGGAATGGGATGGTTTTATTCTTCTGACGAATTATGTTTTGACACTAAATATAGTCAAAATGAACCTCATGTTACTAAACGAACCATTCTTTCCATTATCGCACAAACATATGATCCATTAGGTTTGCTTGCACCAACTGTTATTACTGCTAAAATCATAATACAAAAGCTGTGGTTAGGTAAATTGGGCTGGGATGACCCGGTGCCTAAATCGATCTTATCAGATTGGCAAAACTTCATTAATAAATTTCATAATTTACAGAATATTCGAATTCCACGTTGTGTAATAGGAGAAGGTACGGATATGATACAATTACACATTTTTTGTGATGCTTCACAGTGTGCGTACGGTGCTTGTGCATATATACGTAGTGTTATAGATAAGAATAGGATAACAGTACATTTGTTATGCGCCAAGAGTCGAGTCGCCCCGGTGAAACCGGTTAGCATACCGCGCCTAGAATTATGCGGTGCATTACTGGGTGCAAGATTGTTTAAAAAAATAGAGAAATCATTAAGATTAACCTTTGATAATGTCTATTTTTGGTCGGACTCCACAGTAGTAATAGGATGGCTTAAAATGTCGCCTAATTTAGTAAAACCATTTGTACAAAATCGCATTGTAGAAATTAATGAGCTCACTGGTAACAAACAATGGTTTCACGTCGCGGGTAAACAAAACCCGGCTGACTTGTTATCGCGCGGAATGCACCTAGATTTACTTGCGTCGTGCGACATGTGGTGGCACGGACCCGCATTTTTACAGACTCACAATTTGGAATGTGATGAAAACATGCGCTGTTGTGACATTGATTGTGATGAATTGCCAGAATTGAAACCAGTTAAATCTTCTGCACTAGTTCAGATAAATTCAGAGGATTTTTTGTTTCGGAGATTTTCAAGTTTTAATCGTTTACGCCGTGTGGTAGCATACATTCTTCGTTTCACACATAATATTCGTAAACTAAAGACAGGTACACAGCGTTTCACAGGTTGTTTATCTGTAAATGAATTGAATAATTCAATGAGAATTTTAACTCAAATCGCACAGCAACAATCTTTTCCAGAGATTTATGATAATTTAAAAAATAATCACCCGTTTAAATGTTCACGTAGTATTTCTAGTTTAAATATATTTATGGACGAACATAATTTAATTAGAGTAGGAGGAAGACTATTGAACTCTGACTCGTTTTCATATGACAAAAAGCATCCATGGTTGTTGTGTAGCAAACACATATTTACTAGACTTATTTTTGAGCATCAGCACAAGGTATTAATACACGCTGGGCCGCAGTTGCTTTTAGCAACTGTTAGAGAAACATGGTGGCCCTTAAAGGGACGCAATTTAGCAAAACAAGTTGTACACAAGTGTGTAAGGTGCACGCGAATGCGAGCTACGCCAATGAAAATACAAATGGGTAACTTACCTAATGAACGGCTTGTGCCAGGATATCCATTTTTACGTTGCGGTGTCGATTATGCCGGGCCATTGCTCATGCTGAATCGCGCAGGTAGGGGGGCAAAATTGACCAAGTGTTATATTTGTCTATTTGTATGCTTTGTGACTCGCGCTATACATTTGGAGTTAGTCACGAATCTGACTAGTGAAGCATATATATTGGCTTTGAAACGCTTTATTTCCAGACGCGGCAAACCTATGCGAATCTTTTCTGACAATGGTAAAACATTTGTAGGAGCTTTAAAGGAATTTTCAAAATTTTTAAATACTAATGAGTCAGACATTTTGAATTACACGTCAGATAACTTAATAGAATTTTCTTTTATTCCCCCATACTCGCCTCATTTTGGTGGTTTATGGGAGGCAGGGGTCAAGTCCTGCAAATATCACTTACGTCGTATTTTAGGAAATGCACATTTAACGTACGAGGAGTTGAGTACAGTGTTAGCACAAATTGAGGCTGTCCTCAACTCCCGGCCTATATCTCCTATGTCCACAGATCCGACAGATTCACTCCCGTTAACTCCCGCTCATTTTTTGATTGGCCGGTCACTTACTGCACCTGCTGACAGGAACCTGACGACGACAGCCACACATCGCCTTCCACGATATAATCGCATAGAACAGATGAGACAAAACTTCTGGCGTCGGTGGTCTACGGAATATATTTCTGAGCTTCAAAAGAGGACTAAGTGGCAAGGTAACCAAGAAACATTACTTCCGAACACGCTGGTTCTAATAAAAGAAGATCACCTTCCGCCCCTGAAATGGCAACTTGGACGAGTGCAGAAGACGTTCCCAGGCCGAGATGGCCTCTCTCGTGTGGCAGTCATCAAAACAGCGACTGGCATTATCAAGAGGACGTATCCAAAACTTTGCCCACTCCTACAACCATAGTAGCTTCGTTGGAACCTGGTGCTTCCAAGGCTGGGAGTATGTCTACGAGCAACGCCATCTATTACAATTCGGTGACAACACGACGCCATCGACCGGAGCAGGCGCCGCTCTGTTTTATCGATCGGTGCGGCCAATAAGGAAAGAGGAAGATTCTGTTTTAACGACATTAACATTTTACATTGTTTTTTAACAACCGCCGTTTCTTTTCTAACTGGAACGTGGAAGAAATCTCTCTCTCTTATTTAAGTACTAATTTAGTATTTTTGTAACAATAAAATAAACGCATTAATTCACATCAATAATAAAGGCATTCATTGAAGGCAACCTAAGTAAAATCCTGGAAGCGAGTGCACGCATTGCCGTACATAAGCCGTGCTGACACCACACATTGGAAGTCCTAACACAACCAATTCTAAGTGACATTACTTCCGTCTCTTTTCCAACGCCTTTTTTATGGAATATAGTATGCAAACGAGCAGACTGATCACCTGATGGTAAGCGATCAGAACCTCCCATGGACACCCGCAACACCAGAGGAGACACAGGTGCGTTGTCGGCCTTTTAAAAAGAGGTACGCTCTTTTTTTGAAGGTTTGAAGGTCGTATCGGTTCGGAAATACCGCCGACGACAGATCATTCCACAGTTTTGCTGTGCGAGGCAGAAAACTACGTGAGAAGCGCATAGTCTTTGAACCCTATCATCAACAAGTAAGAATTCATTATAATAATATAATTCTCCTCTACATACAGAGCTGTATTATCTCTAGGGCAAACTAGACAGCCTTCACTAGAAGGCGCAAAATATGTAGGAAGGGTTTTTTTGCCAATCACTGTAACTGTCAAATTTTAATATTAAACGTCCAATGGTGTTATAATCGCTGATTCTCTATTGGATGAAGAACGAGATGTCCATACTTTTTTTAAGGGGGGAAAATCGTCGAATGACTTCTCCCGCCTGGGTGAGGCGAGAGGGAGTGTCAGACTTATTCTGTCGAGCCGGAGCCCCGGTAACCCGTTAGGTTCTCCGCGACAAAATTTGACACTTGTCAGTGTTATCAGTGTCATACATTGAGTTTTCTACTCTCTCTGTAAACAAGCGCTAAAGTTTTTTAGTCAAATTTCCGTGGTGCTTGGCGACTGGGCTTCACCCAGTTGTACAGTCTCTTCTTTGTGCCTTTAGGCTTAATTCATTCTGTCTCCTGCAGTAATTCACCGAGGGAAGTGAAAACCATAGTTTTTTCTTCTTCTCTTATAATATCTTCTGATTCACTTCGTTGCGGGAACCAAGACAGTTACTCATGTCCCTGCGACGCGCCGGACTTCAATGTTCCGGTGTTTTCATGGTTGTATCTACTGTAGATCCTGGCTTACAGGAGTTGCAGCGGTTTTGGGAGGTAGAGGCGGGCTTGTCCCAACAAAAAAGCGTTAAAGTGGCGTTTGGTTAAAGGCCCAGGGCTGCGGCGATTGCTTATCATCAGGTGATCCATCTTCTTGTTTAACGGCTTATGCCATAAAAAAGTCACATTAAGTACAACAATAATTGAAACTGGTTGTCTATTGTTTGCCCGAAGATTATATGCCATAATAATCATTTTCCCGAATTTCATTTTCCCGAATTTCATTTTCCCGAATTTCATTTGCCCGAATTTCACTTGCCCTAAAAGACATATGACATACTTTTAATTGCCCGAATTTTAAATACCATAAGATACGAATTCCATAAGTATTTTTTGCCAAATTTTTATGTGCCATAATAATTATTAGACACTAGCTACTTCCGCGCGGTTTCACACGCTCTGCTCAGCTCCTATTGGTTGCAGCGTGATGTTTTATAGCCTATAGCCATCCTCGATAAATGCTCTATCCAACACAAAAAGAATTATTGAAATCAGACTTGTAGTTACGGAGATTAGCGCGTTCAAACAAACAAACATAAAAACAAACTCTTCAGCTTTATATAATAGTATAAGATAATATTTAAATGGCAATTACAAGTATAAATTCTGTGCATGGATTTTTTTTCTGTGTATGGTTGATGGTGGGCTAGGTCGACGGAGCCCCGCCGCGATCTCCTTCTAACCTAACCTGTCCGAGTCGGGGTACCTTAAAATCCCAATTGCATCCAATTTCTCTTGATATAAACAACCGTTACACACCCGATGTCGATTGCAAATTATGTTATGGCATATCATAATTATGGCATGTGATTATTAGGGCTTACAATGATTATGACAGATGATGTTATGGTAAGTGACTTTATGGGAAACAATGATTCTGGCACGTGACTAATATGGCAAATGAGAGTAGGGCAAATGAGTATTATGTCGTATGATATTATGGCAAATGAGAGTAGGGCAAATAAAATTCAGGTAAACGGCGGTAGGTATACCATTCAAACTGCGTATCACATTTAAAACGCATAAATAGGCACTTCTGCTTATCCTTTCATTTTGCTAGTGTAAAACGTCTTCAGTTTGCGACTGTAAAGTAGCAATATTACACCGTGAAATATATATAATTTTAATATAACTATGATAAGCTATTATCATAGCAATGTTCAATTTAAACCATGCGTTAAACATAGGTAGGTAATATACTTACAATTGATTTGCAATAGGTACCTACGTAGTGACGACAGCGTAGCATACCTACATTTTAAGATCAGCAACACTCTGATAAACCTGGATGCTTACTCTTGAAACTAATCTCAATGTCAATACAATTTCAATCCAATAAAATCTCAATAATTATTTAATGTCAACACTATACAACCACAATCGTAGCTGTTATAATAGCATTCAGAGTACGGAATATAAAGCTAAACTCAATACCATTTAGTTCATTCAATATCCACGCAATACGGATGCAATGGGCGCTAGTGTTGCAACTCAAGAGTACCTACTACACAATATCAATGTCGATCGCGGATCGCGCTCGCCCACGGGACCAGATTCAGACGCGATGCAAACGCGATTCGGTAGCGATGCATTTACGATACAAAAATACCTTGGATTAGTAATTGCAAGTTGGACTCTGTTTTTCGTGCTGCTTTTACGTCAGCAGTTGAAGCGTAGGCAACAGAAGCAGCGTCAATATTGAATGTCGTCTGACATGGGTGCTTAACTGCTTACTCTTGAAACCAATCTCAATGTCAATACAATTCAATGTTAACACTATACAACCCCTATCGTAGCTGTTACAATAGCATTCTGATTACGGAATATAAAGCTAAACTCAATACCATTTTGTTCATTCAATATCCACGCTATACGGATGCAATGGGCGCTAGTGTTGCAACTCAAGAGTACACAATATCAATGTCGATCGCGGATCGCGCTCGCCCACGGGACCAGGGTGCTTACTCTTGAAACCAATCTCAATGCCAATACAATTTCAATCCAACAAAATCTCAATAATTATTCAATGTTAACACTATACAACCCCTATCGTAGCTGTTACAATAGCATTCTGAATACGGAATATAAAGCCAAACTCAATACCATTTAGTTCATTCAATATCCACGCTATACGGATGCAATGGGCGCTAGTTTTGCAACTCAAGAGTACACAATATCAATGTCGATCGCGGATCGCGCTCGCCCACGGGACCAGATTCCGTCGCGATGCAAACGCGATTCGGTTGCGATGCATTTACGATACAAAAATACCTTGGATTAGTAATTGCAAATTGGACTCCGTTGAGACGACATTAGTCACGGTGTTTTTCGTGCTGCTATTACGTCAGCAGTTGAAGTGTAGGCAACAGAAGCAGCAGCAGCGTCAATATTGGATGTCGTCTGACATGGTCGCGGGTTTGTATCGATACAATCGCGATGCAGTAGCATGTTGGTAGCGCGTTTGCATCGTTATTGCAGCGCGTGACAAATGCGACTAGACGCCTTAAAAGCGATGCTGTCGCGAATTTGCTAAACGCGTAACAGCATCGCTTCTAAGGCGTTCGCGATCGCTACAAAAAGCCGCCTGTGGGTGAGGGCTAGGGTTGCCACCCGTACTTTATAATAAAGTACAGTCTGGCAAACGAAAGTAGAGACTGAAAAAGCCCGGCAAATTTAAAAAATATCAGTATAGCAAGCCAAAAATTAGTATGTCATACCTGGAGTAACCAGACGTGAAGACGTAACAAACAAACAAATTATTATAAAGTATCAAATTAGGTTACTCCAGGTATGACATACTAATTTTTGAGTTGCTATACTGATATTTTTTAAATTTGCCGGGCTTTTTCAGTCTCTACTTTCGTTTGTCAGACTCTATAGTACGTTATTTAAGGTAATTGTACTCTATACTTTATAAGAATAATAAAGTCCACGAAAATACATTATTTTTGCAAAATTCGATATCGATATTTATCGACTTATGTTGAATCGATTTCGCCACTCGCCAGCGCCACTTAGACAATTTCTAGTAAAGATGCAATTGTTTAGTAAAGATACTAATTTAATACAAACTGCAAAAAGCATATAATACTAAATAAGAATAAGTTGTACTTTATTTTTGTACTGTGTACTTTTTTTTTCTTACCTCTAATCGACAAAGTACTTTAACTCGTCGAGTACCGGTTTTGTAGACACAATTATAGAACAATAGGTTGCGGTCACCGGTGACCGCTTGGTGTTTGACAGTTTAAATACCAAAATAAAAAGGTGGCAACCCTAGTGAGGGGTCGCGGAGAACCTAACGGGTAACCGGGGCTCCGGCTCGACGTGCAGGAGAAGGAACGGGGTGGTTTTTAGTCAGTAAGAGTCTGACACTCCCTCCCGCCTCACGCAGGCGGGAGCAGTAATTCGATGATTTTCCCCCCTTAAAAAAAAAGCCTAGTGAGGGCCCCTAGTAATTTAGTTCCGAAAACAATTGACAAAGACTGGGTTAAATGACCATTAAATGTCATTGAGTATGTCAGGGAGAGAACTATATATTATGTACCACTGTATTAAACATAAAGCAACTATACTAGCGTTTCATGTCGCGTGTTCCGACATAATATTATAATTAAAACATAAAACAATATACGTCGAGGCGAATTTTACATGATACCGATTATTTTGCGGTACTATCGCGTACAAACTTGTGTAGTTTAGAAACTGTAGGTACTTCTACGTGGGTACGGTCAGTGATGATTGCCGTCAGACCCGTATTATCCCTTAGGCGAATTAGGCAAGTGCCGGGCGCTAGGTTAGGCTACACGGCGCGATTTTCTCCCACGCCTGGCCCGTCGAAGTTGCGAGCTCTGCAGTTTTTGTAGAATACAGGGTGCTTACTCTTGAAACCAATCTCAATGTCAATGCAATTGCAATCCAATAAAATGTCAATCATTATTCAATGTCAAAACTATACAACCACAATCGTAGCTGTTACAATAGCATTCAGAGTACGGAATATAAAGCCAAACTCAATACCATTTAGTTCATTCAATATCCACGCAATATGGATGCAATGGGCGCTAGTGTTACAACTCAAGAGTACGTTTCACAATACCAATGTCGATCGATCGGAATTGGATTCAAGAGTAAGCCACAAGTTCGTGACTGCGGGATCGCAGAAAACTGCGGTCTCGTGAGTTTTGAAAATTACGCTTTTCACAGTTGACAGTCGTTGTTTCAAAAGACTACTTATGTCCGCCTTTATTCAACGTCCTTGCTAAAATTAATTAGAGTAAGGAAAGAAGTATAAAGAGAGTATTTTTTTTACACTATAGGTCGACGTTTGACCGCTATCTCGCCTGATGGTAAGCGATGATGTGGCCGACGATGGAGCACGCCTACCTATGAGCAACCTGTTTACTCGGGACTTGAAGAGACCCAAGTCATATTTGACGGGAAACAGCCTCTGGCAAGGAATTCCATTCCATAGCGGTTCGCATGAGGAAGCTTGACGCGAAACGCTTCGTGCGAATGGGTGGAATGTCCACCAAATAAGGGTGGCGTCCCGCCGTTCTTCTGGTGGTACGGTGATGAAATGGACTAGGGGGAATAAGTTTGTGGAATTCCCACGTACACTCACCAAAATGTATCCGATAGAAGACCGAAAGGCTTGCGATTTTGCGCCTGTGTTCGAGGCTTTGTAGCCGAGCCTCCACAAGCGAATCGTCATTGATGAGCTTCTTGGCACGCCTCTCGATGGATTCGAGGGCTTCTAACTGGTATTTTGCCGAGCCATCCCAAAGATGGGAGCAGTACTCCATACACGATCCATGAACGGGTCCGTCCATCTGTAGAGGTCTATGATGGACGATATATTAAAGAAGGGCCAAATTAAAAGTACCCTTAACCGACGAGCATGCATGAAAAGACTGATGACTGTTGATGAAGCGAAAAACGTATTGGGGTACTTGTCAACTAGTCAAATTCAATACTTTTTTTTCGAACTGTCAAAAACGAGAGTTTTCTATGAATTTTGTACGAGATTGTGTATTGTGACGTCACGTTTTTTAGCGTCAAACAGCATAGTTATTTCTTATTACCTACATGAATAATGAATGTAATTTTTATAGTTTATGTAATTTTGTGAATGTTAAATTTTAATTACCGTGTGCATGCTATGTTTATATCTTAGCGAAACATGTTGAGTTATCTATACTAATAATAATATAATATTACAAAGCTGAAGAGTTTGTTTTTTTGTTTGTTTGTTTGAACGCGATAATCTCCGTAACTACAAGTCTGATTTGAATAATTATTTTTGTGTTGGATAGTACATTTATCGAGAAAGGTCTTCCGCGCGGTTTTACACGCTCTGCTCAGCTCCTATTGGTCGTAGCGTGATGTTTTATAGCCTATAGCCATCCTCGATAAATGTGCTATCCAACACAAAAATAATTATTCAAATCAAACTTGTAGTTACGGAGATTAGCGCGTTCAAACAAACAAACAAACAAAAAAAGTATAAGAGTATAAGATAAGATATAAGATAAGAGTAAAGGAATATAATTAATGAAATTCTCGAATTGTTATCACAAATATTGATTATTATGTATGCATCATGGAATAAATAAAGCTTTATTATTATTATTATGTCTTTATTATTATAGCTATACCATGTTTTACGCGAATAAATGATTTACTTACAAATATGCTGGAAAAATACTAAAATTAAGTTGGTTATAAAATCAATTAATAAAAGTGTGATTATTATTTAATATTCTATTGTATTGAAGAGTCGAAATAATTTATTTTTGATTAAGGAAAGCACCCAACCTAATTGTGCGAGGTTATGTAAGAAACTGAGAATTGTGGAAATTAAAAACATATGTTTTAAAACCAGTGAACCATTGTTTCCGATTGTACTGAACAGAAGTAATTTACGTTCGTACCTGAACAAGTATGATATGACAACAAATTTGAAATTATTTCACATTTCATTCAGTTGTGTGAACGCTCACCAGAATGGCTAGATTAAGATATTATTTCGTATTTATACTGTGTAAGTCTTTTTGCCTATTTTTAAACGTATTAAGTGTAGGAGAGCCATGCTTCGGCACGAATAGCCCGGCTCGACCGGAGTGATACCACGGCCTCACAGAAAACCGACGTGAAGCAACGCTTATGGAGTTTCTTGCTCGTTCTTCTCCACTCGAATCGACATTTTGGAACGAGCGCCTAGCTTCACTGATGGACAGACTGACAGACTATTATATATTTCATATTTGTTGACGTTTCAAAAGTACCAAATTATGGTTTAATTGAAATAAATGCTTTTGAGTTTGAGTTTGAGCTTGCGTTGTGTTTCGTCGTGTGACTGAGGTTACCGGAGGTCCAATTACCCTCCCCTTCCCCAATCTCCCTAATTCTTGAATCCCCAACGATCCTCAAACTCTTAATCCCTAAAAGGCCGGTAACACACTTGTAACGCCTCTGGTGTTTCGTGTGTCCATGGGCGACGCCGATTGCTTACCATCAGGTGATCCGTCTGCTCGTTTACCGGCTTATACTATAAAAAAAACAGTTTTATTTGATTCCTGACGACAGATCGATCTGATATTTGGTACACACTCTTAATCTTGATGACCATACGTAAAATCGTTTACGTTTTGTTTCGAAGTAAAATGATTTTGTCTTGGTAATACTATAGTTTTATATATAAATAAAAT